GTTTTAGTCAGGAAGGGGTGTTGGGTTTTGTCAAAGACCTTTTCAGCTGGTAGGATCATGTGATTCTTGTTCTTTGCTTTGTTAATGTGATAAAAGACATTAATTGTCTTTCTTATGTTGAATCATCTCTACATTTATATTATGAATACCACTTAGTTATGATCAATAATTTTTTATGTACTGTTAAATTATATTGGCCAGAAATTTGTTTAAGATTTCTGTATTTGTCTTCATGTGAGATATTGTATAATTTTCTTTTTTGTAATGTCTTCATGGTTTTGGTATTAGGGTTCTACTTTCTTCATAGACTGACTCTGGGGAGTGTGTCTTCTTTTTACATTTTAAAAGTAATTTAGGTAGAATTAGTGATAGTTCATTCTTGTATGTTTCTATCATTGTTTTTTATTTTGGAGAATTTAACTCTGATATGTTTTCATGATTTTTCTCTTTGGATTTAGTCTGCTTGGTGTTTGATGAGTTTATTGAATGTATATTTTCTTGTTTTCTTATGATACCTCTAAAGTTTGCTTCTAGTGACTTATACCACAATTTTCCCACTCCTGTCCTGGAATTTTAAAAATGTGTGTGTGGTTTCATTTAATGTTGTTTCACATGATTCTAATGTTTTCTTCATTTTCCTTGTCTTCTTTTTTTTCTTCTTCTTGTAAGTTTTCATTGAAACTCTTGTACTTTAACTTAGTCTTTCTTCCATCTCTTCTATTTTACCTTTTTGGTGCCTCCAACATGTTGAACATTTCTATAATATTGTTTTTTGACATTGTGAATTGAGTTTACTTGCTTTTTTATTTTTTTTTATTAGTTTTCATGAACATTTACAGAGAGTTTGGGTTTTCATTCATTCATTGTTGCACTGTTCTCTCTACCCTCCTCCCCAGTTCTTTCTTCTTCCCCCCACCCCCCGAATGTCTGTTTTAATTGTCCAATTGCCACTGTGTTTGTCAAAGCCAGTTCTGCTTAATCTCCTTTGTCAGTGTGTCCTTTGCCATTCCCTATCACTTCTCCCTGAGAGGGACTTCACCCTGATTCATAAAAAAAGGGGATGGCATATTCTCTTAGCTACTTCCTGCTGAAAAGGGACACTGTAGGTTTCAGGGTGAAGATCTTCTCTCACTACTCTAAAGGACCCCTTTGGCA